AAAAGATGCTACACAAAATATTGTTGATATCTGAGTAAGGTATTTAGATAGTGTCTTAAAAATAACATGATTCATAACCCATAATAATCCATAAAAGCTTTCATAAGAAACTTCGCATTCAGTGTTGCTAGAACAACACTGTTCAAGCAGGTGTTATATTTCACTACTTGAGTAATAAAAGACTATCACTGCTGTGATATTTGAACCCTGTTTTTGCCGAAGCCATTTTGATTAAAACCTGTTGTTTATATGTTAGCTATTTTATTTTTAGAAAAAAGACAGGAAAAAGAAAAGTGTTTTCATAGAAACGACAAGCAGCCCCACTGGCCAAAAGAAGAAAGAAAAATACAAAAGACCTGTAACACAGCTGTGTCTGCCATTCTAGAGATTATCATGAGACCAAATATATTGGTTTCCATTACAAAAGAATAGTGTCCATCTACAGTATAGTCTGAAGATATTTGGTGCAAGTTTAAGGGTTATACTGTAAATGCTTTGGTATCTCGATAAAAAGGGACAGACATTTCCCAATCACATTATCTTACACACAAAATGCTACTGCCTCACAAAAAGTGTACATTTTCAAGCATTTGGAGCACCTTTGCAAATGAGACATTTCAAGTACCATATTTTACATTCTATCTTAAATTAATGCGAACATTTCAGAATGCCAGGAAGACTGTTTTATACATCCTGTAAAAATAAATAAATACATATGAAATAATATTTTAAAAATGTAGTCCAAAATACTGTAATCATACTACACCTCATCATGCACATTGCATAAATCAAAATAATCCTGTTTGAGCACACTACCTTGACAACAAGGTCAGATAAAGAAGCCATAGTTTCAGAAGCAGGTATCCCCAACCCTTGCTGCACTGGCTGTATTGTATTGATCCATCACTGACCTAATAAGAGTTTGACCTTGTGGAATGTTATATCATGCTTTGATGAGCTCACTCTCAATATCGGGGTTTGATGTTCACACTGAGAACAAAACCTGACTATCTCTGGTGTCCAAGAGATATTGATCCTGATTTACCAATAAAGAGCATATAAGCTTAGTCAACCTTACTGCAGCACATGTACTATTCAGTCCACTTATACTGTAGTTGAGTCTGGTTGTGTCTGGAAGCAAGATGAATGCTGACCTGGCTGATGAGCGTGGAATTCACTCAGGTGTCTTAGAAAGGTGCAGGCACTCATCCTACTGATTCTATAGGTCACGGAGTACTGTGAAAGTAGTTATGAAGGTCATTCAGAAAAATCAATCCTGGAGAGGTGTTATAAATTATGGGTGGTCCACTGTATTCACAGTTGCTATCATTTTTGGCACCTGTAATTGTCTCATGAAATAAAAACTTCAGGGGTCTGCTTCTAGGTGAGCTAGAATTTGATTCTTCTTATCCTCTGAAAAACGTGATATCACATTTATGTAACCAAATATTTTCAGCCTAAAATAGTCACCTAAATAAGGTTGAAGAAAGAATTGCTCGGGCAATATGTGAAATTTGAACAAGAAATTCAAGGAATCTAGAAAAATTCTGCATCCCAGTTATTGACAAGCATTCTAATCCATTTATCACCATACGATACATACTTGTTAAACATATCTGCCCACCTGTTTGCATTCTTTTACTGAACAGTAAAAGGTAAAACCCATGCCAGCCACAACAGCTCATCAGGCCATAACTCATCCTGGTCCCTGTGGCTTTAAATGAAAGAGAGATCATATGCCTCCACCCCTGGATGGCATACCACTGCATCACACAGATTACTCCCCAGCACTGCTGGATACCACTTACACATCTGGAGACACTCGAGAAAATGAGGTAAAACACGTCAAGGGTATCAAGGTACAACTGCAGTATCTGTCAGCTACAAGTCCAATGACCTACCAACAACCTATGCAGCCCCCATTCCGTGGACAAGCCCATAGAAAACTAAAGAGTCCATCTCATCTGTGTGTTAAACACTGATGTGTCTGTTTGACAAATTAAATTAATGCTTAAGAGACTGCTTCATTCAACGATTTTCTTTTTCAGACAGGTAAATTATTTAGTGTTTATAAAACACAGCCAATTAACTGAACATTCTCTTCCTTGGAAACCACTGAAGGATTGTACAAATATACTCATCATCACTGATTATTTCAGACTCTTATGATATTATGTCCAGTTATTAGTATGTCCAGTTATATATAGAATGTTTGCACTGTAACTATGGTAACATGTTTTACCTTCCCTTTCAGTAAGAGTTTTATCAAACAGAAAAGTAGAAAATTCATATCCTTAACGTTTCAATGTTACTTTAAAGACCACCATACAGAGTTAATAACAGCACTGTGTAGAAACTGCACCACATATGGTGGCCATAGTTTTTTAAAGAATTTGATCAAAGATTAAAGGCAAAATGAACATTGGGATTACAGCTATTCAATATTTTCAAATTCTATAAATAAATCGTAAAAATGAACTAGTAGGGTAAAATGATATTAACAATATTTAATGGCATATTTAACCCCTTAATGTGATTATTTTGATGTTCTTTAGGACACCTATGCTATAGAAATGCTGTGGTAATTCTATCGCTTAATCCCTTGCTCGTGATTTAACTTCACGCTTCAAAAATACTTAACAAATGCACCCATCCAAATGCATTCATTCATCAAAAAATTATTTTGATACAATCTGGGATCTGATCAGATCAAAACAAAGTGTCACAACACTATGCCCAATTTGGGTTAAATTCTTCAGTTTAGGTCTGTATTAAACTTTTGACCCGTGCAAATACATACATCAGCTATCTTGCAAACACTAGGGAATTTGAATTAGAAATATAAGGCTACAAATAGGCAGACATAAAAACTAACAGCATGTTAGCATTGTGATTGAAGAGATTCTGAAGTATACAGATATCACCAAATATCTCAACACAGTATGAAATTCATAATCTAATCATAAAGAAGGAAGTGACTTCAGTGTGATAGAATTTCACTGTTCTGGTATTCTGAGGGGTCACTTAATTTTTTTTTTACAGAAATTAATTTGTTACAGAGTTTGCCCATTTACTCTTAAGAATGAAGGACATGCTGTTGAGAAACCAGTGCATTTCCCTGCTCAGCAAATTCCTTGAGTCATTAATGGGTTGTCAAATTTTGTTTCCCAAGAACAGATAGGTCTTCCACCATAGTATTCTATCCCAAGCTCATAAGAATTTCCTTGTTGGATCTTTAATGTTTTTAAGACTCTTTCCTAATTTGAAAACATGTTTAATTGCAGGCTCAGTACCTGTAATGCATTTACAAACATGTATACAAACTTCGAGTTTGTACAATTTATCGTTAACTCAACCAATGTTGGATGGACCATCAACCAGAATTACATTGTGGCTCTACAGGAACTGGTATTAATGTTCTTATAAAACCCTGAAAATTAAATCCATGATAGTCAAGCAAGTAAAAGGTTTAGAAAATTCATAATGGTCACCTTTTCAAATTGTTTTACATGTGGAATAAAAAAAAACAACCTTCCGATTTTAAAAATGTTGAAGTTGGCTTTGACAGATGGTAAATGCAGCTCTATGAGAACCAATCACTCATGTAAAATGGACTACCAGCGTGTATTTGTCATGTTTTTATAGGGTTGTTTTACACCCATTGCAGGCACATACTGTAGCAAGTGTGTTTTTGTTTCTGCAATGTGAGATTTTGTTTGTGGTTTTTTGTTCAGAGCAAGATACAACAAAGGAGGAGAATGCTGCTAACTGGGTGTATGCCTGTTTGATTTTAAGCATGTAGTGCTTTTCAATATCCTGCCTGGTGTGGAAGGTAGGTTTTAAATGCAGACTGATCATTAGAAAAGGCGTGATTGCTTCCATTTTTCGTGATTATGGTGCCTGTGAAGATGCTCCATCAGTAACATTACCTAACACTATGAAGAGGAAACTCCAGTGGCAAGAGAAACATGTAACAACATGTGGACATGTTTAGCCAAGAATACAATTATATATTTATTCAAACATGCACCCTGTGTGTTTGAAACTATTTAACTTGTCTAATCTTAATGAGATACTTATTCATATGAATTCATATGAATCCAACAAAAACCTAAATTAAATTGACAAAATTAGAATACTTTGCCAATACATTGATTGGACTGCTGTAACTGAAAAACAATTTGAATCATTTGTTAGAATAACCAAGAAGAAATAGAAAAAAAGTAGATTGCCCCCAACATAATCATAACATTAATTAGTTTAAACATGAGCAAATATGTCACGTAATGCTCTCATTTAATGGGTGTAGGTGTATTTTTTAAACTATAACATTAAAACCCATTCCATAGGCTATATTGTAACTAGAACTTGTAGTTTGGGCTTACTTTTTTTAAATTTTAGCCATTCGTTGGCCTCCAAGTTATTTGAATTCATAAAGCAAATTAATATTTAATTCTATGAATTCAACAGAGCCCTAAATATTGCAAATCTCAATCAACGTGCATTTCATGGTATCATTGAGAGTTACACTTTATGCATCGTATAATGTATGTGCATGAAGGCACAAGCTGCTTAAAAAAATATTGCAGGTTTGTCTCCGCAACTGAACCGACCAACAGCATCCTCATGAGCACTTGCACTTGCAGACTCAGGAAACTGTGGTAACAGCTCTGAAAGGGTGCAACGCTCTTTGAGATGTTGAGTAGTTCAGAAGAACAAGTAATACAGCTATATATTACACAGATGTCTATTTCACACAAAATAAATAAGGGAACTCTTACATTCACACGGCATGTTTTTTATCAACCAAAGGCTTAACACGTCTATAGTGAGCAGATGGTTCAATTTGCTGTAACGGGAATACAAACTCAAATAATGATGTAAGCAAATAATGATGTACAAAATCAGTGTCTCTTGTCTGATTCAGAAAGGTATTAATTTTGACGAAGGTTTTCTATCAGCTCACCCTTATAGCACAGTACAGTGTTTAAAGCACTTACCGTCCCAATTCAGACTCCAGCTCATAATAATCAGCCAGTGTCTCCTTGTTCGATCCGTCTATCCAGTATTCCGAAGCAGCTCCCGGTCTTGAGGAGGGCATGGTGACTTTCAGCATCCCCGGCTTTTCAAACAGATAGCCTGCTAGCGATATCCCCAGTGTGACTGAATTCCAAGATTTAATGAAATACAAACATGCAGAAAACGCCAGCCTGAGAATAAACTACGAACGGCAAATAAATACTGAATAAAAAAGGCAACCAAGACAAAAATGAATCATTAAAACGTCTGTCGTCTATCAGAACCCAATGAAAGTTAAGATAAGTATAATGAAATCAAGAAGGACTTCGTATGTCTGTCACCTTGCTGTCACACTCCTGCGCTGCTTCCCTGAATACATCGAGTTTAACAGAAGCCCTTGTGGAGGTATAGTGCAGTCTGCGTTAAGAGCTGCGTCTCTACTGGGTCTTAAAGCCGACCAAGTAAGAATGATCAAGACATTTTAAAACTGCTTAACCTTTGAAGTAACAGTGTCTCTATGTGACGTAACCTTACGTACCTCTATCACGTTTCAACACGACATAATACTTGCACACTAATTGCAACATGCAATGCACGGAAAAACAAAACTGCTTAGGATTTTTTAAAAGTAAATTAATAGGTGAAAAGATTTACGTGTGTTTCTCCATGTCATATGATGTCATTTGCCAAACCGCTTTATAACATAAGGTGCTGCGGGAAGCCGGAGCCTACCTGGAAAGCAACGAGCGCAAGGCAGGGTACAACCTGGACGCCAGTCCATCACAGGTCAAGTGCAAGCCAATCATACAGGTGGACAATTTGGAGGCCACAGTAAAGGTCGAGGGTGAAAATTTGGCCTGGACACCAGGATAACTATTTTTTTTTTCCATTTAAAACATAAATCAGAAAATAAATTTTGCTTGGTCTTAATTCTGTCCGATTACAAACTTGTTTTAAGGATAAATATAATATGAATTGATTTAAATGAGTCTGTAAAACACTCATCTCCCCAACATCAACAAAAAACATATAAGAAAAATCAAGCATGTTGTTGTGATATATCATTTTAAAATGCATTTATATATTTGTTGGTCTGTTTATTGCATTCTTAAAATCACTCTAAAAAGATTTAGCTAATTTTTATTAGACATTAAGAAATGCATGGGTTATCTTAAATCTTTACATCAGTAAGGCTGAATATGTGGCCTGTAAACAAGTTGCACCTGTGAACAAGGATGCACACACAGATGTTTAAATTATTGAAGTCATGTAAAATCCAAAACTACTTCCACCAAATTACCTCCATCTATGCAAATCTAACAGAACACTGGGACAACATTATACCATATTTTTTGTATTTTCAAAGACAAAATGTTATAGTTCTTTTTAAATAACCACACCAATAAAGAAATTATTAAACATTGTCAAAACAATGTTTCTGCTATAGAAAAAGCAACTGTGTAACATAGCAAACATTACAAATAATTGTATTACAAAACATAAAAAGCACATGGCTAAATCTAATCACTCAGAGATCTTAGTGTGCCCTCCCCTGGTTGTATAAGAGCAATGTCATTGTTTTTCAATTCATACAAATTCAGATTAAGCCAAGACAAGACAATCTAACAAGAGGTTAAAATGCTAAAAACAATTTAATTTATTTAAAAACTTGTCCCTCTTTAAATTGCAGTATCAATAATTACCTCTGCCACTGCCTAAGAAAGGTGACGCAAGGGACTGCTGCAACTACTGTACAATAGCCCTGATTCCACATGCGAGCAAAGTCCTTCTGAAGATCATAAGCAGTGTCTGCGACCAATTACTGAAGCAGGACTACCTGACTCACAAGCGGGGTTCAAACGAGGTCGTGGTCTCCGGTGGATTATGGAGAAATGTCATGAACATCAGAAAAACATCTACATTTGCTTCATCAACTACAGTAAGGCATTCGACTGCATCGAACACGATAAGCTATGGAAGGCCAGCTGATAAGATCCTTTTATAAAGACCAAGAAGCAACTGTTCGAACACAACATGAAGACACCGAATGGTTCAAAATCGAGAAAGGTGTGTGACAAGGCTGTATTCTGTCCCCTTTTCTTTTCAATCTTTACGCAGAAATGATCATGAGGAAATGAGAGCTGGAAGAATTGGAAATCGGTTGAAGATTGGAGGCAGAAATATTAATAATCTCCACTATGCTGATGATACAACATTACTGGCGGAAACGGAAGATGACCTGAAATACCTCATATTAAGAATCAAAAAGGAAAGTGAAAAGATGAGTCTCAACCTCAACATCAAAAAGACAAAGATCATGACAACAGCTGTAAATGGAGAAGTCAAAATAACCATCAATAATGAAGAGATCGAATCCGTCAAGGTTTTCTGCTTCCTGGGATCCATGATCGATCGAACTGGAGACTGCAGCCCTGAAATCAGGTGATGAATTGCATTAGGCGGTAGTGCAATGCTGAGCATGCACCAAATCTGGAAGAGCAAAGACATCAGCCTCACAACCGAATGCAAAATGGTCCATGCTATTGTGTTCCCCATATCATGTATGGGTGTGAAAGCTGGACCCTGAAAAAAGCTGACAGAAAAAGGATTGATGCTTTCGAGGTATGGTGCTGGAGAAGACTGTTACGGATACCATGGACAGCAACGGTCACCAATAAAGAGGTTCTGGAGAGCATCAAGATAGAAATTTCGCTTGAGGGAAAGATCACCAGACTCCGGCTCACTTATTTTTAGTGGAACAAGAAGACAAGGCCACCAAAGAACACGGTGGCTCGACACCATCAAAATGGACACTGGCTTAGGCATAGAACAGCTGAAAGCGAAAGTCCAAGACCGGAAAGCGCGGCGAGAGATGGCCTATAGAATCACCGAGAGTCGGATCCGACTGACCGGATAACATCATCATTATCATCAATAATTGCAGTGTGGTCAAGAAAGGGACTTAAATCAAAACTACCCAGAAATATCGACATTCCGCACAGTCCTGTCTGAAGTTTAGGGATTGTCTTAGAGCAGCAGGCTCCGATAACATTGTGTGGAATCATGTGCTGAAGTGGTTTCCCTGTTGATTCAGTACACATGGTTGATTATGGAGGCTCCCTGTCAGATGGCAGCAATGCTGGAATCAAATGATAGTTGATGAATGGTCCCTGGATGCACCAATAGCTTCCTAATGCAATATACCTTCCACGGCCTTAAGAGCTCTCTTTCACTGAAAAATGGCAAACCTACAATATTTGCATGCATGTAATCATCGTTTGCAAACTCACAACCGCACATTTCTAACCACACCTATTATCAACCTCTCATTCTGAGGAGGAAAGGAATACAAAACAGGAAGGTGAACTCAACATTTCCTCCAGGTATATTACAACCTCTTACTGTATGATTAATAACTAGGAAGGACAATGCACAATGCTTTCCGTTTTCTTTTAAAGGGAAGGTTATGTACCTACATAGTACATGGTACTGTGTGCACTCAAGAACCTTTTGACAATTTCCTCTTCAGCATTTGTTGAATCAGTATTTGAGGACTAATTCACATTATAAAGCCTCAGTAAGACCGCATTTTTAAATCTCAAGTAAAGCACAAGCATTGTGAAGCTCACAGAGCGCTGCCATCTCTTTAAGTTCCTGATTAACAGAACCTGCTTTCCTACCTATCCAGCCCATTAAAAAAGGTCTCTTTAAAAACCCTTCATGCCCTTTTCCAACATATAAATGCCTAATGGAACATTCATTCTCAGGATATTTGAGCCCTTTAGAATTTTAACAAGTCTCCAAACAAAATGTACATGCTGTGGTGGCATAGCACATGTACAGGTGTTTGCTGATAAAAATAGTAGTTTCTGTTTTCAGAGAAATAATTGTAAAAAAAATCTGAAATTACTTGCAAGTACTTGCTGGGATAACACATTCACATTCCAGAATTTGAAGCTGGAATTTTTTAAACACAATCCTGAGAGTATCCTATGCGAAAACAGCACATTGTAAAACTGCAGAGGCAACCAGTTATGCGTGGCTATTAAGAGAGAATTACAATACTGAAAGAAAACATCAGAAAAATATTGATTTTTTTCAGGAACACAGCTGTACTTTGGAACAAAACAACAAATCCTCTAATGTGAAATACAGCTTTAATGCTACTGCAGTAATCCAAGAACTAAACAGCTGTCACCGATTATGTAAAAGGCCGATTTATCTCCTGTTACAGCAACAATAAAAAAAAATGTCGACTTTTAGATTATTTGGTGAAAATGGAAATGATCACTTTCAAGAAGTTTCACAACATTTGGATAATTGGCAAACATTACAAAAACAAAACTGTCGATTGTTTTGTGAAAAAGGAGTCAAATATGAAGCAGATAAAGAAAAGCTCTCATCAGTACAAATCCGAAACTAAGGATTAACTGAAGCACAAAAGGTACAAATTTAAATTACACGTTAGAAAAAGAAATGCATCGGGTGCACTGCATTAAAGTCGGATTTCTATGTTTTTTT